TTTATATTAATAATTTTTATATTATATATAATATTGAGATATTAATTTTATAATAATTTTATAATATTATTATACGTGCATATATGTGTATTATTTTTTATTTGTTACTTTAAATATCTTTTTTTATTATAAAGCATTTATAGTGAGGCTTTGACTACACTGTAATCTTTCCACTATGCGCTGCTATTGATGTATTCTTCCAGATCTAAAATGCTGATTGGATGATCTAAGAGAATATACCAATAACAGCGAGCGCTCACTTAACTGGTGAGCCCATTGAACGCAGCCAATGGCTATTCTAATATACCAGTACTATATACGCAAAAAAGTGCAAAATCTGATTGGTCTTTTCCAGTATTGCTATCGCTATTATGTGCAATGATACACCTTGTATTCTTACGTCATGTTTATACTGCCATTAGCTGATTAACCTGCTTGCCTTGAGAGGGATGAAAAAAAGATCTGTTATCGTTCTCGGAGATCCACAGTGAGATGATGAAGTTTGCGTTCGGTATGAAAGATATCTGTTGACGGAAAAATATATCAAAATACATGCTTTGCAGCAACGTACAATCTCTGTCATGATATCAGTTGTTTCACTTGTGATAGTTGTGATATCATCGCATTAACATATTCTGAAATAAATAATCAAGGTGTGAGACTAACGAGATCGCTGAACTACTATCTATTATATTTATTCATTTAATACAGTTTTTTTATTAAAAAATGATGAGGCTATGATTGTATGTGTATTACATATACATTATTACATTATATATATAGCAAAAATTTTTAGGATATTGAAAAGCAAATGAGAAAGCGTTCTAACATTAATCGGTAAAGATGCCAGTCGGGGTATTTCCAGCTCTTAAATTGGGTGTACTATTTATCAAACAGATCAGTAAACCTTTAGCCAAATTTCTTGTCAATCAAGCAAAGACTCGTCCTATTTTCAGAACTTATTTCATCATACCACCTGCTCAATGTGAGTATGATTCTCATGACGCACAAGTTTACTGTTGTAAGATATAATCATAATTTTGTTTTGTATATTCATAGTTTATCATTGGGCAGAAGTAAAAGCAAAAATGTATATCATGAATCTTGGTAAGCCTACAAAGGTTGCCAAGTTGAACGAAGCAATGGCAATTGAATTGGGTGCTAGTCTAATAGGCGAGTTGATTATCTTCAGTGTAGCTGGAGGATGTGTGATATTGGAGTACAACAGGCAAGTCACAAAAGAGACAAAGAAAGAGGAGATCCGTCAGATGCAAATACAGAAGTTTACGGATGACGTCCAAGAGTTATATAATATTTCATTGCAACAAGAAGCACGAATTCACTATTTGCAGAATGCAATTCATGAATTAGCAAATCATATGAAGCATAAGTTACCTGAGCTGGTTTCACGGCCAATAAATAATAGTAGTAATAATCTAGATGATGACATGAAGAAGAATTGTAATAGAAATAGCAAAAATTCAACGGAAGCAAATCCAGAAAGTGAGAACACATCATTGATAGAGCGTGCAATAGTATATTATAACAAAGAATTGAAAGGAGATAAGCTTAGTTAAGCAATATTTTATATTTCTCAAAATATACGTGATACGTACGTACTTGAAAACGTATTTGAAAATATAGATATTTGCCATTGGTACTGGATTAAAATAATATGCATTCGTAACACTAAGCTGTACATAACAAACTTTCGTTCTACATTGTGTATTGCAATCTTTTTGGATTGCGAAACACATGCTAGACCTAAGTTAAGATTTAGATACAATTTTTCTGTAAAAATAAATATTTCTGCCTATGTATACATAAATAATTTTAAATGTAGATATGTGTGATAATAAAATTAACACAGAAAAATTTATATTACAATCTTTAGCTTCTTCCATTGCATTATTATTTTTATATAATTAATGCGTGTATATTATAATAAATTCAATAAAATTTATTTGTTATTGTACGAATAAGTGATAAACATTTAAATAAAATTACAGTTTTTATAATTGTAATATTTAAATATAATTTACAGATTAACAAAATTTTTTCGGTAATAAGGAGGTTGATAATTACCGACATACCAATTGAATACGTATGTTAAACATTTAAAAAGTTTAGTTTTTTATATAAAAAATAAAAATAAAATCAAAAGATAAGCGTTATTTTTTATTCAAAAAATCATATTCTTTTTTTAATACTATATTTGTTTACATTTTATATAATGTTAAATATTAACAGTCGGTAAGTTATTGACAGTAAGTTATGGATTTATATTGCTATTGCATATTGCATAATATATATATATATGTATACATGCATATATATATTTATATATATATATATATATTGTGTGTGTGTGTGTGTGTGTGTGTGTGTGTGGTGTGTGTGTAGTGTACATAAAGAAAAAGAAAGCTAAAGAGAGCCACGTAAGATGTATGGAGTACAAAGCGCAACTAATACAAATTTAATACTTTCGTTCGATATTTCAAATCGATTTGTCAGTATATTTCTGCTAACGTAGTATGACATACACTGTGTTGTGTCAAATCTCGAGTATAGCTCAATCTTACAATTGTATATCTCGAGTACACCTCATTCTTGCAAATCTTAAAATTGTTAAAGATGTTTATAAACAGGAAAAAGTTAGATATCGCAGAAAGTGAATTGTCTGAAAGAACAGGAAAATTTCACAAGAAACGATGGCTCGAAATGAGCAACAATTATCTGTTTGCTCTGTGGGGATTAACAGTGCATTTAATTCTATTGTGGGGTGTATTAGATGTTAACTTTCATTCACCTATTATTAGAGGAATGCCAATTGTACCGGCGCCTAATGGAGCACCGGCTAAAAGGCTGCTTCTTTTCGTGGCTGATGGTCTGAGATTTCAGACATTCATAGAAAAGCCACCACCTTATCTCAGGTATCTTGTGGAACTTATTTACAACTTGTTTATTAATTAAAACTTGTTTATTAATTGAAAGGAACAAAGTGTTCTGCTATTTTATATAGTTTCATTTAATTTTATTTAATTAATGTTTTTGTTTGGAAAAGAATAAAAATTATATATTTATATATTATATTTATGTAACATTAAGAATATTGATTTATTATGTTTTTGTTTTAATATTAACTTAATTTTGTTAGATAAAATAAATAATTCTTTTTTAGGGATGCAATGAAGAATAGAGGTGTTTGGGGAATATCTCACACAAGAGTGCCTACTGAATCAAGACCAGGACACGTTGCAATCGCTGCAGGATTGTACGAGGATCCTAGTGCCATTTTCAAAGGATGGCAGGAGAATCCAGTTGACTTTGATTCTGTCTTCAATCAAAGTCATACAACTTGGGCTTGGGGCAGTCCAGATATAATACCACTGTTTACAAAAGGTATTCTAAAAGAAAGATGCAACAGCATTGATATTCATTATTTCTCATGCTTATTTTGAAATTTTGAAAAGTTAGGTAGCAAACACAATGTTTATGGACAAAGTTATCCATCTGCATGGCAGGATTTTGATACAAAATTGAGTAATCAAACGAGACGTCTGGACTCCTGGGTATTTGATGCTTATTTGAAATGGCTACAGTCCTCAGTAACCGAGACAGTCATAAATCAAAATGGAATCATTCTGTTCTTTCATCTGCTTGGATGTGATACTCTGGGGCATGTTAAAAAACCAAATTCCAGGTATTCAAGTTATTTTAAACTATTGTTATTGATTACTGTTGTTTTGAAAGTACAGAATTATTAAAAAGAAAATTTTGAGATTAGAGAGTATGTGGACAATATGAACTATGTCGATAAGAGGATTGAAGAGGCTGTGAATGCGACAGAAGACTTTTTTGGGAAGGGCACCACTGTTTATATATTCACATCGGATCACGGAATGACCGATTGGGGATCTCATGGAAGTGGTTTGCCATCTGAAACTGAAACGCCGTTAATCACTTGGGGAGCAGGAATAAAATCGTCTGGCTTTCGTCAAGACGTTGAACAAGCGAGTATAACTCCCTTGATAGCATCCCTAATAGGAATTCCTATTCCTATAAATAATGAAGTAAGTATTTATGTATCATATTAAGATCAGATTTATATACTATATATTTGCTCATATATTGTATAAAATATTTATTCGTAAAATACTTTTTTACGAAGGGTGCATTACCATGGCAATATTTCAATTTGGATTATCGTGAATATGTCGCTCGTTCTTTAATCAGCAATGTGAAACAACTAATGCATCAAATAACAGAAAATCGTGTGATAAGTTGTCAAGATAGTGATTATACTGATTGGCGAGAGACACAGATAAATGATAAAATTCGTAAAGCCCAACAACATATCAGTAAAAGAAATATAATGGCAGGAATTCGAGAGGGCAATGACGCAATTAGTTTGAGCAAGGAAGCCTTGTTGTATTTTAGACAATATCAACGTATACGATTTTTAATATATTTATCAATAATGTGGCTTAGCTGGATAGTTATATTATTCTTCAAAATAGCTGGAGCAAAACGTCAATATTCGCGAATTTTTCTTCTACGATTAATAAACATTGGATTTCCATGTTTATTAATAATAATGTTAATTGTACATATAAGTGAGTAATCATTTCTAAACAAAATGTTTTAAGTAAAAATCAATGATTTTATTTGAAAAATGGACACTTCATTTATACATTAACTTTTACTTACAGCGTCTAATTGTAACAACTGGAGATTACCATGCTACGCATCCTTTGCTATAATATCTGCGTGGTTTGCCGTTACTACTTATATTACATCGACGCCTGTATTTGCAGAAACGAGCACACAAACGCTAGTCATAGATATTGGAGGAACTCTGTTACTACTAGTGATAATATTTGCTGGATTAACATATAGATTTGCTTTCAGCATAGGAATACTGTTACTCTTATTGATACGAGCAGTAAAGTCAGAAGATGTACCAACTTCTATGATTTGGACTTCGATTGCACTATGTGTATTTCCATTATTGCCTGTCGTTGAGCCATATCCACGCACTTATATTGTGTAAGTTTATCTCGCAAATATAATCAAGTCAGACATTTTTAAAATTATTTTAAATAGTATAGGAATATTGATCATAGGAGATTGATTAAAAAAAAATTTATCTTTTTTTATTTCTTTTAATTAATGATATTGGAAAAGAATATATATAGGAATTTTGTATAAAAATTTTTTGACTAATTTAATATCTTTTTTATCGTTTTCAGTATAATTGGTGTATGTATAGCAATAGCGATAGTGATTATTTACGAGATGTCACAAAGTCGGAGAATAATGGAAATTGTACGTCTAGTCATCACAAGTATTATATATATGGAATTCATTGATGGTCGGTATTGGATATCGTGGATTATCCTGCTGACTGCACCATTAAGCATTTGGTATCATCCAATAGAGAACAAAAAAAGAACGCTGGGCGTAATGCTCGGATTTTTCTGTTCTCTTACATTATTGTCGGCTTCTTACGAGCCGATCTTCTTCATGACTCTTACACTCAATTTAATTTCTTGGTTGGAAGCTACTTCAACTACCTCAAAGATCTCAGGAGAGCGAAATATCACAGAAGACTTGATCAAAGCGGCGTTTTTCGTATCCTTTTATCATCTTTAAGAAAAATTTTTAAATACCATAAGTTTTTTTAACAAAAGAGTGATATTTATATCTGGATTAATTAAAGATAATTAGATTAGAGCGTTAAAGAATTAATTTTCAACACTTCTCTCTTGATTTATACATATAATAGATAACTGTTATTACTTATATATATCCTTAACATGTTATTATAGATGTTATACGTATTATTGTGCTTCTTCGGCACGGGAAATATGGCGAGCATTAGTTCATTCGATCCGTCTTGGACGCGTCACTTTGTCACCGTCTTCTCTCCATTTCTAATGACGTCCTTGATATTTCTTAAACTTAGCATTCCTTTGATATTAGTGGGATGCGTGAGCTACTCTTTAGAATTGGAAGAATGTAAAAAGCCAAACTCTTTAGCTGTTCTCTTTTTAGGCGATTGTTTGTCATTGCCTTTGATGTATTGTGTCACGCCATATGGTAGTTGGCTCGACATCGGTAGCGCTATTAGTAAATTTATTATTGCTATTTCTCTTCCTTGTCTTTTTGTATTGTTACAATGTCTTTCGCGTCCACTTATGAAACTGGACTTTGAACGATTTTGGATCGGCCCACTATCTCAAAAGAAACATATCGTATAGAATTTTTTATATGATTAGGAAAATTAAACTAATAACTGTGCTTTAAAAGTATTTGTCTATATATGTTTGTTACTGTCATTTACATTGTAATATCTGACAAATTTGATAAAAAAAATCGAACAAATACATCTCTGTGCCTGTATGTATGTGTATGTATGCGTATATATATATATATATATATATATATTCGACTGTCGGCCTACTGTGTTTGTACTGCCATTACATCGAAATATCTGATAAATTTGATACAAATTAAACAAATATGTCTGTATGTGTATATATGTATTCGACTGAAATCTACATTCTCTTATATAATTTATTTGTAATACATAAAAATAGATAATTATATTTAT